TTTTTGCCGCTTGTCGCGTCTCGGCTCAGTTTCCACGAAAACAGCGTTCCCGGGGCCTTGCGGGAGGGGCAGGCGCCGGGGCTGGCCCGGTGGCGGCGGGGGAGGCCTGGGCAGCGCTTGTCCCCGGTGCGCTGCTCCCTCGGGCTTTCTCATCAGCCGGGTTCGGGAAGGTTGGGTGCAGAGCAGAGCCTTTATTAGTGAGGGCAGTGAAAAGCCTAGAGGTTATTGGCAGCTGTAGCAGCGATCTGTAGCTCACACAACTCCCCCCTTTTGGAACGCGGTTGTTACACTCTAAGGACCTGATGTTATGTTTGAAGCTAACCTGTTTTTCTCAAGAAAATGCCTTAAAACTAAGGGGTGTAAAAAAGTATTGGTTAGCATTGTATATATGGAGGCCACTATTTCTAATGTGGATTGATGGTTTAGTGGCAGAAAACCCAAATACACCCTGCAGGCAAGGTGTGGGCACTGGGCTGCACTTAGGTCCTGCTAACATGTTGCCATAGCCTATCACTGGATTACCTTCATCTTAGCTCAGGGTAGTGCCCAGCCTTACCTGCTTTTCAAAGACAAATTAATCCTTTTGCAGCTTCAGCTGATGACTTAAATGGAAGTGCCTGTCAGGAGGCACATCCAGGCCTTGTCAGAAGGGTTGTCCTCCCTCCTTGATGTGCCCTGGATGAAAATTAATCAGATGGTTAATTTTTCATGATAAAAATGCCCTAATTTCAAGTTTAAACCAATTTACTTTAGCAGGATCATCTGTAGACACTTTAATTCTGGAATTACTTAATAAACTTAGGTAAGAACATCCAAACAGGTATTTTTCATTTGCTTAATTACATTGGTTAAAAAAATAATTTAGCCTAAGTTCAGCTTCTTTGTAGAGCCAGGGCAGGTTTTTACCTGCAAACAGTATCTTCTTGTCCAGATTGAGACTGTTTTGCACATATTAATTTTGCTGTTCTGAGTGTATGACAGTGTTGTAGCAGTTATTACTGAGCTTGGCTCAGACCTATATTTTCTATTCACTGAGCCAGATTATTCCCAGTGTTCAGATCTGTAATTATTTCCTTTATTCTTCTCTTTAATTATGTTCCTGGAACACTGTGGTAAATGCACTGTAGGGTATATTTTACACACACACACATATATATAGATGAGAATGTATGTTATTCTTCAAAATTTGCTCCATATATCCTTTAGGTGCATTTCTGCTTAAAAGTACAATGAGTGTACAAATCCAGTCAGTGTAGGGACTCACTAACATTTGAGGAGAGTTAGGCCAATCAGCATCCTTAATTAAATGACTTATGGCAAGGTATCAGTGCAGTTGACTTTACTACATGTCACTGCTGGACTACGTCAGGGAAATTAGTTTTAAAGAGAAGAGCTGGTTATTTAGCACGAGGAACATTTCTGAGGGAGAGGGGGCTGGTTTCTGCGACCAGCAGGCACACCACGTGCTGAGTGACTGTTTCAGTACATCAGCCTGTTGACCTGCACACCCTCCCACAGCTGTGCTCACCACTGCTACAAGCATCAACTCCCACACAGCTACACCCACCCGTGCCAGCAGTGACTCTGGCCCACAGGCCCTATTCCAGTGCCATCAAAACACTGAGACAGAAGCCAAGCTTTTATGGATTACATTTTTTAAAAATTCCACTCTGAATGATTTTCTATTTTTTTTCCCCAAAGGTGTTGTAGTTTACTCTGGGGCATAAATGACTCAATTTGAAGTCTTCATTTGAATTTTCATCAAAATATATTTAACGTGCTACCCTGCAGCATTATTTTACGTTTGTTTCCCCAACAATGGAGGAGAATCATACATTTGCACTTGATACATGCTTAAAATAACCTTTTCTGCCCCTCTCCCAGGTAGAAACTGTAGCTTTTTGCAGGAAATGGATGTCATCCAGAAACGGGATGAAAACTGTTATTGCTATGTCCAAAACAGAACCATTCACTTACAATACGTCTGGTCGACTCTTCAGGTAAGAGGCCATTTTGGGGATCACTCAGATAATGCAATACATCTCATGTGAACTCTTGCCAGCAATTAGCATCAATTAGCATGATCAAAGCAGTACCACTGTGTAATTGATAGTTTGAATGCTCTACAGGTACGACCATGATAAAAATGCAGCCTTGTGATCCTCCACTTCAGATGCAGTGAAGTTTGGTTTCTCTGTATGAGGACATCAGCCAGGCTCACAGTGTGATGCCACACAAACATTAACTTAGGGTTCCCTGTTCCTTTGTTACACTCTTTTGCTCCTGATGAACCGCTGTTAACCTCTGCTACCTCTGCTTTGGCTTATCACTAAATGCCTTTATAAAACTAAATTTTGAGGGTGAAATGCAGGTCTGTGACTCACTGACCACAGCAGGCCAGGCCACAGTACAGGAACCAGAGGTGTATTCAATTGTAACTCCTGAAAAAGCAGCAACAGTGCATTTCTGTTTTTCTGAGTCAGAGGGTCATCGTATAAGAAACATGTTTAGACGTGAGCTTGAAAGCTGTGTGGTTCTTTTTTTTTTTTTTTCCCTGGAAAGTATGTCTCTAGCTGAGGAATGGAAGTAGTTTCACTTCATATCTGTTGGAGCAACGTGCTTTCAGATATAAGAAAGGAGAACATCTCTTTGTTCCCAGGACCTTCTTCCTCAGGAACATGCTGCAGATGTTTCTGTGAAAGGTAGCAAACTTCAGGAAGTGAAACCCTCCAGCTGCCACACGAGCTTTCCTGAAGTAATTGTTTAAAAGCAAGAAATTCAGAGGTTTTACCACAAGTTGCTTTTTGCTGACATGTTGTCTCTTCTCCCAGTAGAAGCTGTTTTATTACCTGTTGCATCACTTTTTGGTAGATGGATCTTTGTTGTCTAATAGGCCCTGATCAGGAGCCCTCACAATCTTCAGAAAGACCATTTGGTCTCAGATGATGGGATCTTTTATCTCAGAAGACAAGATCTTTTACCAGTTTGGTAGGGGAGGGTGCTAGGAATTAGCAAGAAACCCCAAAATATCCCACAGGAACGTGCTTATATTTAAATATATTGGTAATGGTATCTTTATTTTTCCTTATCGCTCTTCTGTCCCTACCATAAACATTGCATTATTAACTGCAAGAAAACAAGCCAGATTTCTTACAGTTCAGGAGGGGGATGGGGAAGCGTATGGACATCCACAAAAGAAACTGTGGTCAGTCACATTACTGGTTTTGTTAGAAATTTGTGTGTTGGGCAAGTATGGTAAAACCAAACCCATTAAGCTTGTGAATGAACTTGAGGCCCCTCTCTAGAACTTTGCTGATTTTTTCTTGGTAACACCTAAACAATTAATATTTGCATAATATTAATAACCCGTATTAAACAACAAGAATTGCACTTCAGTTTTATTCTCGAGCTCTCTATCCTGATTTTCATTATCACATGTATGGCTGACGTGCTGTATAGTTCAGAAAAACAACCCCAATTCTGAGCTACTTCTCATTCTGTGGTTTGTTTTTAGGTCAAAGTTAACAGCAGAGAAATATTCACGTTTGAGCCTATTTCAGAAAAAAGTAACTGTCGCAATTCAGAAACCGTTTTTGAGTTTGCTGCGTGTGCTGTTCGAGTCTTCTGGAAGCCAGAGACATCTACAGAAACTTCCTTGAGCATAAAACAATATGGGGATGACATTTGTTTCAAAATACAGCCCTCCAAAGCCGAGCCGTACACTGTGAGCGTGAAACGGGAAAGTGAGTACAACAGCTTTCAGTTTAGCTGACAGAATGCTTGGTGCTGCCAGTTACTGAACCTACCATCTCTTCTGTAAGAAGCTTGCGGACTTTTCTGTTGTTATTTTATATAAGACATGTCTTAACAAATTAGTCTAAAGTCCCTCTCTTTCCCCCCCTTTTTCAGTGCTAGATGGAAAGATCTTGGTTTTGTTTGTAGCTGGAATTTTTCTGTTCCATTTTGCGAACAGCCTGAGCAGGTGAGTACTGGTTGCTGGTTCTTGACCTTCTGTCCCCAAGCTTGTGCATCTTTGGTCTGTTTTCTAAGCTAAAGAGGCAGTTGTTTGGGAAAGTGAAATAAGGAAGCTGAACATGTATTTAAAACTTCTTCATACCACTTGTGTTTGGACAGATTGTGACGTATCTTGGAGTGCTGCACGCTGTTAAATCATCTAGCTGTGTTAGGGTTCTTGTATCCAAGCTTCCTGCACTGGGCAGACTCCAAGACAATCCTCAGCAAGCATGTGCATTCAGAAAAATTCTCTGCTTTGTAGACCAGCTAGGTTAGCTGAGTGCTAAATAATGCTGTATGTGTGACAAATGATGCCTTCCTGCAGCAAGAAATGCTTAGGATCAGGTCATCTGGGGCCTTGTCTGCCTCCAACTTTGTGACAACCTTTGCCCATGGTTCTTCTGATGCACATGGCACAGCATTGTAAGGGAGGATACTTAATGTTACTGCAAAACGTGTCCCATTACTTCAAAGCAAAATGAGTCACTGATTACTTTTCAAGAGGCACCTCTAAAACAAGCACAGCAGCAATAGGTTTTATAGAGCTTACTCTGAATTAAAAGACTCAGATTTTACAAATTAATAAGCTTAGGAAAAAACTTGGGGGTTTGTGGAGGTTTTTCTACATTTTAAATTTAAAAATAAAACTTTTTCCTGCAGTACAGAACTGCAGAAGAAAATGAAATTACCAGAAACTATAAAGGCAATGAAATCAGAGATGGCATGAGCTTTAAAACACCCAACACAATCTCCTAGCCTGTAACATCCTCAGCGACCTTAAGGATCTATTGGGAATTTTTCCTTACATGGATTTAATATCTAAACTGGGCCTGTTAATCATATAACTACAACTCTTAACTTACAGCTGTGTAAAGTTCTTATTGAAGATCACTGCTGTTTTTACAAATGTTGGCATTTTAACCAATTAGAAATTATACTTCTCACCATATTCTCTGTTGTTCTCTTACAGGAGTACCAAGTTCTTCTACCTTTCTGGAGTAATACTGGGTGTTTTTGCTCTGCTAGTCTTTGTCCTGTTGACACTTAAAAGGTTTATTCCAAGGGTAAATCTACATTTATAAAACCAAATAATAATAATGATTAGCATAATAATAAAGGAATTGAAGAGTACAGAGCCAGATTCTAATCTTGCTCTGGTTTTGTGGTCAAGTAGCCTCACTGAAACGACTATAGGTTTGCTGTGTCAAGGAAATATAGTTAGGTCAGAATAAAGTTCAAGTTTGCTTGCTCCTCAGTTTAAAGTTTGTTGGTGGTGTGTACAAGAATAATTTATTCTGAAGCATCAATTATTTTTATTGGACTGGAGGTAAGCTGGCTTTTGAATTTTTATTAATCAAGCTAAATCAAAATGTAGTTTTAGTGGCAACTGGGACAGATTCTCTTCTGTTCACCAGAGACAATTCTCTGCAAAGCAGATGTGAATTTTTCCTTTAGTTTTACAAAGCCTGTGCATTCCCACAATATTGCTGAGATACATTAATTGGAAATACACTGCAATAGGCTTTTACCACAACATAGGACATGATACACAAACATAGAGATGCAGTTGCTCCACTTAGAATTGATACTGTTTAGTTGTAATGTGCAAAGCACTGTACATTGGAAGTCTTAAGCCCTATAGGTCTCCCAGATACCACACCTGGTTTGGCCTGTGAGTTCCCTTGCACACAATGGTCCTGATTCTGACTTGAATTTTTCTAAAGGTTTTTTAATGTTTTGGTTTTTTTTCTTTTTAATTTCTAGCACAGTACCTTCTGGATCTTAATGAGTGGCTGCTGGATGTGCTCTCTCTATTTTATTTACTGCTTCAAAGAGAATATGCAATGGTTGTGGTCTGAACACAGAAACTACTTGTTGGGTAAGAAAATTATCAAAAAATGTGCTGCAGATTTTGATTTAATTTAGTGGTTGGATGAATACCTGCCCATAAAAACCAATATAACTGACTCATTTATGGAGTACTTTTTTCTCCTAAGCCACAGATGCTGGAATATTCTTGAGGTTGCTGATCCACTCCAATGAGCATTCACTCACATTGTATCATTAAATAAGGAGTTTGATATAGTGGGCCAGTAGCAGCTCTAAGAGCAGATTTTGCCTGTATACTCATTGATTTGCCATTACATACTTTCCCTGCAACAGCAAAGGGCAGCTATGCCAGGATTGACATTGCTGGATCTGGGAACAACATATGCATAAATTGCTAACTGGATGTGGCTGCAGGGGCTGACAAAGCTCTTGCTCTGGCATCTCCCTCAACGTTCCTGCATGGGGAGAACTCCTGTGCAGCTCACAGCATTAGCTAAAAGGCTGTTCACAGGTCTCCTCATACAGAGCACATACAACATAATTCAGGCGTCTGAGAAGACACAAAACAACAGACTGTTACTTCACAGCAGCTGCAAGCTTTGTGAACTGAACTAATGAGGTTTATAGAGGCAGTTGGCACCTTTTTCTCCATGTCCTTCTCCTGTTTCTACAGGGTATTTTCTGACTGTTGGAATCATCAGCTTTGCCACTTGTTACCAGCATGGACCACTTACCACTGAACTGAGCATAACCTTCTTCACCTGGACACTGCAGTTAACAGCCTTTGTCTTGATTTACTGTGGTGTCACCATACCTCAAGTTGCATATGCAGTTATAGCAGTCAGCCTCTGTTCCAAAGGCCTGTGTTACCCCCTTGGTGCTGCTTGTCACATAGGCAGGTAGGTGTGTATTTGTGAACGTCCAGGTCCCTGCATCACCAGGAAACACTGGAGGCTCGTAATGAAAACAAGCCCTTGCATGTCAAGAATGATTTCTGAATTTCTAATACTGTTCAAATTTTTATAAAATGTAAAACTGCAATAGAAAAGGTTAAAATCTCTACGACACAGGAGTTTAATTATTTCCCATTGTGCAGTTTTAAGCATGAGTTTTGTTCTGTGGAGAATGGAGGAATGTGACTGGGCTCTTAAGTACAAATATAGCACCTTCCAGTCTTGCAGCATATGGTAACCAAAATATTTATGTTTGGTTGAATGATTCAACTGTACCAATACTGCCTTGGTTTCACGTGTAGTGAGAAAATCTGCAGGTACCTGGTACTGAATCTTATGGGACAAAACCATGTACTACCAGCTAGGAAGCAGGTGTTAAAAAGTGTCAGTCCTTGTAGGTTAAGAATTCAGGCACTAAAAATCCATGTCCATAAAAATAATGGTGTCCATTACTTTAGTTCTCCAGGGTTATTACCCTAGATGTACATACCTATAATTTGTGGAAACAAATCTGTTGTCACTGCAGAGACATCCCCCCTTATTCCCAGAGCCCCACTGATACTGTGGCATTAGGAAGGGGAACTGCTTGCAATATGTTGACCTTAGTGCTAAGTATTTTCATTAGCAATATGGGAACAAGGTGTTTGCTCATTCTTGAATTTGAAGCATGTTTTGTCACAAATACATCACTCAAATGAAGATTCTAAGAAATCGTGCCAGTTTAAATCTGCTTTTTACCTTCAGTGATGTTATCCAAGTTAAGAGACTTTAGTTCACACTGTTCTGTAGCTGTGGACTTAGGCTGAACTGCGAAGAACTAGGAAAAGGCAAAGGCTAGACCAAAATATTCTTTTGGCATAACCAAAAGAATAAAAAACAAATAATCTCTTTTTTAGTCTTTTACACTTTGTTTAGTTTTGAAGAACATACTGTTTTGCTTTTCTGATCTTTTTAGATGCTGAAATGTGGACTGGGCTGAAGATTTTTATTTTAGGTAGAATTTATCATTTGTTGAAGACTGATTTTTTTCCTGCAGCTGAGCAGCACTATTTCAAAAGCAACATACAGGATGAATACTTACTGATTTAGCAGGTTTAGCTGGTCTGAGATCAGAAAGATTTGGCTACAAATTCACAGAAGTCAGAACATACCTGTTTTACCCTGAAACACTGTAGTTTGTTCTCCATGTGGACCTCTTTGTGTTTCATTAACTGATGCTGAGTGCCTAAAAGCACTGAAATACAACACTACAGATTTCTCCTGGGAGGATGATAAGAGAGTTCTTTACTGTTTCAAAATGCTAAGTGGTAGCACCAAACTGTAAGGCCACAATGGCAGATACACAGTTCAGAGCAGTAGATACATCAAAATAACTAAGAATCTTGCATGATTTGTTAAGATCCCACTGAGCCAGCAAGGCCTTTACCATTTGACCTTTGATTAAGGGATTTAATTCGACCTTTCATCCTTGCTTTACAGGGAAATGGGAGGAAAGTGAAGGGTGCTGGCTGGAGCAGGTGTTTTTATACAGAGCTGAAAGTTTTACAGGCATCCAGCCCTTGCTTATCTTAACTCATCACAACATTTAAGCTGAAAGCAGTCGACAGAAGGGAACAGAACATGGCACACTTTCTAATTGATAGCTAATTATATTATACATTGCTACGCAGCAGCTAAAAAAACATCAGATTATAAACATTTTGGCCTCAGACTACTCAGTTTGTAATTTAAAGCACGATTTAAGAGAAGTGATCTAGTAAACAACATGAACAACTCATAACAGATTTAGAGCACTGCTTATCTTCAAAGTTATATATGCAGACTGGGTTTTGATTCAGCCCGTATCTCCACACACACATTTTGCATATTGCACCTAAAAATGGCTGAGCAAGCAGCCATCCATTTAATTCTATGAGACTTTAGTCCATGCACACACAGTAAGGATTTGATCCAAGGCTCATTTGAAGCTCATTAGATACCATTCTGTGGAATTCTAAACTTTGGTTAAGACCCAGTGTAAATAGACTAGCAAACATAAAACACCTTGTCCTAAATTTTAATGCAGAAATGTAGCTTGTCCTCTTAAAAGGATAAAGGTGATTAATGCATGTTAATAGCAGGTGGTAGAGAAAAAGGGCAGCAATTTTGATGTCCCAGAGACTTCAAAAAACACTGTTCTCATTTCTTTCTAGAAAAATGAAGAACCACTTCAAATCAAAAAAGTTAGTGTTTAAGTGCCTTACTGAAGAGGAGTATCGAGAACAAGGTGAAGCAGAAACTAGCAGAGCTCTGGAGGAGCTACGCTCGTTCTGCAGGAACCCTGACTTCCCATCATGGGTAGCTGTGTCCAGACTGCAGTCCCCACACAGGTAAGAAAATCTGGTTTCTCTCAAACAGGACACATTGTACAGACACTGTTACAGAGCAGACCCAAACGCTACTTCAGGCACCATTCCAGGTGTGTTTATCTCGCATGCAGCCAAACGTGCAGGTAGCTTTATCTACTAGAGCAATCCCACTAAAGATCACAGCCACACCTCTCAAGGATATGACTTGTGGGTGGTATTAAACTGCCTGTTTGTTCCTCTCTGGCCATAAATTACTCTGAGAATTTGCAGATGTTCACAGCTAATTCATGGTAATGGCAGTTTTCCCTAAAATGTACAGGCTTCCTATGATGTCTCTGCAACCTCCCACATAGTGACTCAGCTGGCCATCTACCCAGTGAAATGCCCTTTTTTCTGTTTTTAGAGCAGTGCACTTTTGCAGTGCATAAAATTGGGGCATACTGAAGATTCATGCTTAAACATTACTTGCATTAAACTCTCCAACTGCAAGCCTGCACCACCAAAAAATCCTATTACTTGAAGTAGCAACCAATAGTTAAGACTAAGAACACAGAGGAAAAAAAACAGTGCCTTCACCTAGGAAGTGTAACAAGTAGCTACAGCAGATACAGCTAAAGAGACAAACTTTAGACAAACATGGGTTAGGAAGGGAAGGATCAGATAAATGCACCCAGAAAATATTGCAGAATATAAAATGAATCATAATAGCAATGTATTTTCATCAAAACTGAAACTTTGAGGTATCAGAAGCAAATCAGAACCACAGAATTACCTTGGTTGAAAAAGACCTTTAAAATCATTAGTCCAACCATTAACATAATGCCAAGTCCTTAACTAAACCATATCCCTAAGCACTATGTCTATGCAACTCTTAAATACCTCCAGGGCTGGTGACTCCATCACTGCCCTGGGCAGCCTGTTCCAATGCCTGACAACCTTTTCAGTGAAAAAGTTCTTCCTAACATCCAATCTAATCCTCCCCTGGTGCAACTTGAGGCCATTACCTCTTGTCCTGTCACTTGTGACTTCACTGAACAGACCAATCCCCACGTCTTTGCAGCCTCCCTTCCAGTAGCTGTAGGGAGCAAGAAGGTTTCCCCCCCAGCCTCCTTTTCTCCAGGCTAAACAACCCTAGCTCCCTCAGCTGCTCCTTGCAAGACACAGGCTCCAAACCCTTCATCAGCTTTGTTGCCCTTCTTTGGACATGCTCTAGTAACTCAACGTCCTTTCTGTAGTGAGAGGCCCAAAACTGAACGTATTTTTTCCATATTTTGTGTATTACCCAGTCACAAAGACTTGGCCTTTGCCACAGAACCAAGTATCACAATTTCCAAGGAGCTACAGTCAGCTTGACTATACTTATGTATAATGTACTTTTTCAAGATATATAATCATACATAAGCATATTATATAATTATATAATAGTAACATATTTGCATTCTGTAGCATGATAGAAAGATACAAAGTGACAACTCAGAGCAGTATTGCAAAACAAAATGCTGCCAAATGCACAAAAGAAGCAAGACAAACATTTTCTAGCTATTACTTAAATAATTAATAAGAACTGTATTAACTACTATAAGAGACAAAAATAAAAAGAACCAACAGAAGGCTGATTTAAATCTGAGTAACCCTTCAAGCTTCCATTAAGCATCAGAAGACAGTTCCAACACAAGGCAAACCTGTAAAGCACAACCAGTCCAACTCTGTTCTCCATTTAGACTAACAGTGCTTCCAAGAAGAGAGAGGTGACAACATTCATCTCACAGAAATGTTAAGTCTAAAGTGTAAATTATTGATCAGCTTACCAGAACTCCAGAATATAGCTGCCTTGCCTTTTTCCTACATTTCTGTGATGCTGTCGACACTTACCCAGGTGTCAGAACTGCCGTCTGTTTCCTGAGGCTTGCCAGAAAACTCCAGCTCCATTCTCTCTTTTCAGTGTAGTTGTCCACTGACAGTAAGGTTTGTGGCAATTTGTGAAAGGCAGGGACACTGCCAAGTTCAGGCTTTGTTCTTCCAGACCTCCAGTTTGGCACTTAGTTGGAGCAGCTGAAGAATTGCCAGTCTGAGGCTCCAAGTTCACCAAAAGCAGGAATTCTTTTGCCAAGACTCGAGCTCAGCTTGCCCTGGTGCATGCAGCACTAGAAGCAAGGTGATAGCACAGCAATGTAGGAATGTGAATTTCTCACCGTTTTTTCTTCCATTAGCAATGTCACTTACCTGAATCCTGACAGCCTTTGTCTCAAATATGCTACAGCTTAATTTATTTTTAGAAGCTGAAGTATCATCTATCCAACTGTACAAGCGCTTACTCTAGATTACCCCACGAGTACTGACAAGATGTGAAAATGAAGTTAGATTGTCTTGCTTAGTCACAAGACCTTGCAGATGGCCTCCAGAAGAGGAAAAGTTACTTCTCTAGGAAAGACTGAAAAGAAGATGAGGCAAGAAAACAAATCTTCAGGGTTGCTGCCATCCCTTGCAATCTGCTCTCCATGGTTCAGGCCTCTCTTGCTCATGCCACAATTTCCCCTCATCTGCGCTGTCAAGTTTGCTTGTCCTTGTAACATCCCTGCTTACCTTGCAGCATCCTCTGCAGTAATTTTTTCATTTCTCAGCTGATCACTTCTCCCTTTGAAAATTCGGCAGGTTTGCAGGTTTTGTTCTGGGATCTCCCCATGTCTCACCTGCAGAAACAAAGGCACACGAGGAGGAATATGGCATTGGGAGCTTCTTCCTGGAAGAGCAGCTCTTTGAGACGCTGGCAGAATCTGAGCAAGATGATCCAGCTGGTTCTATCCATGAAGGAGAGGAGGAGGAAGATGAAATGCATAAACACCTTCCATTTCCATATGCTACTGAGCTGCTTTGAGCTTTGGAAAATAACCAACAGAGTGAAAACACACTTGTGCTAGAAAGAAAGGATGCAGACTGCAAACTTATGCTTGGTGATTTCTTGTGGTTGCTGGTGGACAAACAGGATTTCTGAAAAAGAAGTTTCCGGTATCACTGATGTTGCTGTTCAAGTGAAGAGGATTCAAGTGCTCTGGGTACTTGAACTCCAGAAGTAAACCTTGCCAATTTCCAAAGCAAGTACTGAGAGCAGCCTGTTCCACCAGGATGCCTTGTTTTTCCAAGGATACTACCTCTAGAGAACAGAAAACCTGTTTTGGCTCTTTTCATCGTCAAGTCCTCTGTGCTGAGCACTAGGAGGAGAAGCCATTATTAATACTCTACTTAGTAATTACTAAGTAGCCTGTGTGCCAACAATTACAATAATGCTGTTAATGTGCTGATATTTTTAGTGTTTGTTGGGCTTTTCGATGTTAAAGATTCAGAGAGTTAACACAGTTGAACAAGGTTTGTTTGTGCGTCTGGCTGGGGTTGCCGTCAGTTAGCTTAATTTTGCCTCTCCACATTTGTTTTAAGCTTTGCTTACTATTCTTCAGAGCCCTGCATGACTTTTTACCCTCTGCTTGCACTGTTCTGTTCTTGGTCTCTGCTCTAGTTACACTGTACTTCGTTCTTTTGTCTCCTCACAGACTCTTCTTCTGTCTTCTACAGA